GTGTGTGTGTGTGTGTGTGTTTTAAAAACATTTAACCTCAGTAGGCTGCCGGCGGCCGTTACTTGGTACTCCAGCTGGACGCTGGAGCCCCGGCTGACCGTCACGCTGCTGTCGTACTGGACCTTCACAGACTCCTGGACGTAGTACGACCGCGGGACCGTGCCCCCGTAGTTTATCTGCATGTATAAATATATATAAATATGTATAAATATATAGATTAAAAAATAAGAGAAAAAAAACACTGTGCTCAGTCAGGCCCATCCATGTGGCCCCTCCCCCCAGGACCCAAAAACTAGATTAAAAACTTAAAATTAAATTTAAATAAAAAATTAGAAAAATTATAAATAAAAAATATGAAAATATATATATAAATATGTATAAATATATAGAGATAAAATAAAATAAAATAAAACACTGTGCTCAGTCAGGTCCATCCACCCCTGCTTTACGTTTAAACAGGAGCCAAAAACTAGATAAAAAACTTAATATTATATTTAACCCTGCAATGCCAAATGTATCATATTTGATTCATACGGTTTCTGAAATGTTTTGCGTCTAACACCTTTTGCATAATTTAATGGTAAAAACTTTGCTCAAAATCCTTTTTGTACACAATCAGATACACCTGATAACAGGGGGCAGAAGACTACACAAAAAATAATCTGGACTTATCGCATAGTAATAAATTATTAATATCAAAAATGTATTTCTGTTTTTTCATTCTACATATTTAGTTAAAAGGCCAAATAAGGAATTCAAACCAAAAAAAAAGGAATTTTATGTTTTGTTTTATTCTTGGATCAGGCTTTAAAGGGTTAAATAAAAAAATAGAAAAATTATGAATAAAAAAATATGTATAGATATATCTAAATATGTATAAATATATAAAGATGATTTAAGGTCAGGGCCCCCCCCCCCGGCCCTGACCTTGGTCCTGCAGCGGGGGTCCCCGTCGGGGTCGGTCAGCGCCCCCCCGTAGGCCACGGGCAGCTGCTGGGGGGAGATGTGCCTCCGCAGCTCCTCCTGCCAGCCCGCTGACAAAAATACATAAATACAAGAAAAATACAAATAAAAACTGTTATTAAACTGACACAGAAACAAATAAATACAAATAAAAACAGTTATTAAACTGACACAAAAACCAAATAAATACAAATAAAAACAGTTAGTTAAACTGAGACAAAAAAACAAATAAATACAAATAAAAACAGTTAGTTAAACTGACACAAAAAACAAATAAATACAAATAAAAACAGTTAGTTAAACTGACACAAAAAACCAAATAAATACAAATAAAAACAGTTAGTTAAACTGACACAAAAC